TAGCGGTGCCCATCTAAGGATTAATGTATAAACTATAACAACACCTGCAGTAGCGGTGCCCATAATGCAGTAGTGGTGCCCATCTAAGGATTTTATATATATAATAAACAACACCTGCAGTAGTGGTGCTCATAGTCCTAATGCAGTAGCGGTGCCCATCTAAGGATTTAATATATAAAATATAACAACACCTGCAGCAGCAGTGCCCATAAATTCAATAGTGGTGCCCATCTAAGGATTAATATATAAAATATAACAACACCTGCAGTAGTGGTGCCCATAATGCAGTAGCGGTGGCCATCTAAGGATTAATATATAAAATATAACAACATCTGCAGTAGTGGTGCCCATCTAAGGATTAATATATAAAATATAACAACACCTGCAGTAGTGGTGCCATTAATGCAGTAGCAGTGCCCATCTAGGGATTAATATATGAAATATAACAACATCTGCAGTAGTGGTGCCCATCTAAGGATTAATATATAAAATATAACAACACCTGCAGTTGTGGTGCCCATCTAAGGATTTATATATAAAATATAATGACATCTGCAGTAGTATTATGTTGCGTCGCACTCTGTAATAATCGTCGCACATTGTAATAAAGTCTGTCGCACTTTGTAATATTATACGCGATCCATGTTATCATCTATAGATTTTTGATAAATTCTAAGTTTTTCTCGGGGATCGAATTTGATTTTTTTCACCTTTTTGTATTTTATCATCTTCACATCGATGGAATGGCTCCAACCCCAGTAGACCCGCCCTGGATCTAGTGGGATTGGAGGGTGTCGGGTCCAAATCTAGAAGGGTCCAATCATATATTTCTTGTATGCTGCACGTGCCTTTATTATAATTTGAGAAGTATGAAAAAAAGCTTGTAATAATAATAAGATTGGTTTTTGGCACATGGTCAATTAAATTAAAAATGCATCAATTTCAGAGCCACTTATTTATCTATTTATTTATTCGGTGGCCGCCACTTACGGCTCTGAAATTTTAATTCACTGGTGGGTAGCGCACCATATGTCAAGTTAGAATCTGGGATTTATAAATTGCGCCCTCAATAATACCCAGGGAACCGCTCGACACAATTCAAGTTGCGCGGAAATTGATAAATTGACATGAACATTGAACGAACATTAAAATCCGGGAATTCCTAAAATGTAATTGGCGCGACATTCTTTCATTTTTGAAAAGATATGCACGGTACAAAGCTTACCATGACAACATTTATAGAATAAACCTTGTGTCAACACATTGGCATGGCTAGTTGTAGCAGTGACGAGGATATTTGGGATTACAAGCCACCTACTAAAACAACAACAAGAAACAGCGGTAGAAAAGGTAATGCAGCGGTACACTGCGAGATGACCTCGCCAGACCTACGGTCCATGATCAACGAGTGTCGTAGGCGTGGGCCTAGGACTATGTGCAAATCTAGAACACCTCGTAGTACAGATGAAGACCGGTTATCCAACAGCTCTTGTACGTCTGCTCAAGAAGGAGTTGGTCTAGGCCTAACTTTGAGGAATCCTAGTTTTTTAAGGAAGCGCTCTAGGCCTAAGCCTAGGGCTAGGCTCCAGCATAGCCATAATGATAATATTAACAATAATAATATCAATATTGATGAAAATACACATAGGGCCAGTCCTGGGCCTGTTATTGATACTAGGCCTAGGCCTGACAACAACAATAGTAGTAGGCATACCTGTAGGCCTAAACCAAGTCGTAAAAACTGTGATAAACCCAAAAGGAGTAAGCAAGAGATAAGCAATGAAGAAGAAGTAAATGACGGCTTCTGTCCTAACTGCCAACTACCATTTCGCATTTTGAAAGTGCAGACTCCAAGATGGCATCTTGAGGAATGTCTTCAGAGTGTTAGTAAAGCTGACAAAGGTGATAACAAGTTTTACCCATTTATTTTGTCTAACCCATTTAGTTATTGTTTTCTTACATTTTGTTTGAAATATCTTATAGTTTCAGCACTTGTTCAATGTTGATTATGTTTTATTAATATTATTGTTATATTTGCTTGCAAACACAGAATATTAAATGATATGTTTTTTAACTATCCCAAATTTTGCTCTTGTAAAGTTTGATAATCTGTATGTAAAATGTTTATGTTCATTGTGGATTGACTTACAATGTTTAAACATGCAGCATATTTAAAATTTGTAATCAAAGAACAATAATATTTAATGTTATTGGGGATTATTTTTATGTTTAATCACAAATTTAATGTGTGAGATATTTTATCTCTTTATATTTATTAACTGTAGTAAATATGTTTTATTTTACATGTTTTTTTTTTTTTATAAACTACATATAAATACATTTAGCTTTAGAGCTGATTTTTTTTTTTTTTTTTTTTTTTTTTTTTTTATCTTTTCCTTATAATTTCCAAACTGGTGCTGGTAATGGGTATTTATATTGCGCCTTTCCTATACGGTTATAAGTGTAAGCCAAGTCTCAATTATTTAGGAAAACAGTGGTAGGCATAAAATTGGTCATCATTCAGGAACCCAGTGCATCACAATAGTACAGTCTATTCAAACAAACAAAGACCAAATAATACAGATTACACCAAAGCTAAATAAATTATTGCCAATATGCATCAATTATACTTCAAAATACTTCAATTTTTCACATTATTCTTTTTGACATGATTTGAAAGTAAATTATCTTACTTATTTGTTGTTATAGAATGCCCAGATGGACTTGACTGTGAATCAACAATTAAATGGCATTACAAAAACTTCACTCACAGTTTACTTGCCAATTTGAGGGCAGGTCGTGACCAAATTGATTGGTATATCTCAGAAGAAACAGCAACAAACATTGAGAAGATTCAAGCTCTCTTTGGGCCACGTAAAAATGATACAGGAATCTTAAACAACAGGAAAGTGCATAGCACTAAAGATATGTCTAAAAGAACCCCTAGTAAACACCAGAAGCAGTATAGTCAAGAGGTGACTCGTAAGAACAGAGGCTCGAATCAGTCGACACCAAGGAAGGAAGTTGGCCCTGGTAAAGCAAAAACCCCTAAAAAACAAGAGATCTCTTTATCACAGCAACCTTCAATTTTATCTTTCTTCAAACCTGATCAACCTTCAATTAACAGTTTGCTGAAGACTGATGAACAAAAAGATGGGTTTGAAAAATGTGTAGACATTGAGAAATCTGAGGATAATAATGAATTAGACATGCTACTTGGTTCTGCACCAAGTTCTTCATCAGTTTGTAACAAAAATGGCAATATTACCGATGAAGACATTTTTACACTTAATGAGGAAGTGCAAACACAATTTGGAAGAAATCATTCAAGAATGGCAATAAAAGGGAAGAACTTACCAGTAGAAAACAGCAATGATTTTTATGAAGATGGGGCCATTTCTTGGTCACCTGCAATTTTATCAGATTGTAGTACACAGCTGTATAGTAGTGGTCACACCCTGGATTCTGACAATAGTGCGGATGTTGTTAATACAAAAGCTTCTCCCGAAGACATGGAAAGTGATGAAGATATTTTTTCTCCTCTCCCTCGGAAAACAGCTTCCTTTTTAATTTACAAAAAGAAAGCAAAGACTTTGGATAGTGAATATAATTGTGTATTCAATAACACTGTTTCATCCCAGAGTAAAGAAACCAACGGCAGTGATTCCGAACAAAAAATCTTCTCACCTGTTTATCAAAACACTTCCTCAAATGAGGAAAAATACATAAATAGTAATAGAAATGTTGAAGATGATGATCTTGATTACACAATATTGTCTGAAATAGAAGACTGTGGTAGTGGCTGTGAAGGAGATATCTCGGAGGATCCTGAAAGAATGGTAAATGAATGTGCAGGATTATCTTGTGATGGCATTACATCTGATCAATGTGAAGATTTCAAAGACCATAAAGAGGAAACCTCCACACTAGTACCAAAAACAGAAAACTATAGTGACAGTGAAAGAGACATTCTGGAGGATCCTGAAAGAATAGTAAACAATGGTGACATCTCACTAGTTGCTGACAAAACAACCAGCTATTTGTATGTAAAGGAACTCCAGCCAAAGAATAAACGACATTTTGAAGAAGTGACCACTGTGCAAGACCAAGAATTGATTAATAGTGAAGAGGATATGTTTTCATTTGTCTCACAGCAGGAAATGGTTGACAACAGCTGTAAACCAAATGCTGAAGAGAATGAGGTTAAACCTGAAGAATTCCAATACTCTTCAAGTGTTGAATCCTTGAGAGAGAGTGTCAGAAATATATGTGATGCAGATCCTGGTACTACCAGATATGAAAATCATAGTGAATCCTCAAGTGATGTATTTTTTGATTGTCAGGATACTGATTCAAATTTACCATGGTCTGATGACTTTCCTGTACCATGTACTGATATCAGAGGAAAAGATTATTCTTCAGATCTTGATACCGCAGTCTCTTCGTTAACGAATTCTGATGATTCCTCTACAGGCTCACGTACTGATTCATCTGGTGTGATTAGCAGGCTAGCATCACAATTTATACCATTTAAAAATTATTTCTTTTCTAAAAATATAAAAGCAGCACATATGAATGCACAAACAGTGCCAGGAAAATTTTCCAATGAAAGCGGGAGAACTTCAGGTGCAGCTGCAAATAATCTTGAAAAGCTTCCGACCAATGTAGGACACTCTCAAAGTAAAACGAACCAAAGACACAACTATAAATGGAAATCTAAAAATAGAAGTGGTGCAATGTGGAGATCTAATAGACAATGTCCATTCTACAAGAAGATGCCAGGTATGTATTTATTCAAATCAAAATATATTCACAAACCGAGACAGGCAGCAGGAAAGAGGGAAGGGGAGGTGGAATAGAAAAGAACAATTATAAAGTATACTGTTGAGTCTTTGTTTGAACAATTTCATGACTTGTGACCTAAAAGAGTCAAATTGAAAGAGTGTTTCATCAAATCTTTATTTACTACTTTGTTGGGTTTTTTTTAATTAATGTTTTATTAAATACAAATTTGCCATTGTTTTCACCTTCTCACCTTTGTTTACTTTTAAGAAACAGCAATTGTTGTTGATGCATTTTCCTATGGGAGTATCCCTGGAACCAAGGCATACTTTTTAAGCCATTTTCATTATGATCACTATGGTGGCCTAACCAAAAATTTTCAAGAACCAATTTACTGTAGCAAGGTAAGAATCACTTATTAGAAATAAGGCACATTCTAACACATTGTACCCAGAATGTTTGCTCGATATGTTGGGTCAGAAGTATGCACATGACGTCACTCATAACTTGCATTAATCTACCAATGGCTGTTGTTTTGTGGCACCGTGGCAACAGTTTACAATGAGCAGAGCATAGCTCTGTGTGTTTGACTTGGAGTGGGGTGGATTGGTGGGTGGTGTTGCATGCGTGTGGTTTTGGGTGGTACAAAATATATAGGCCTACATGTGGGCCTGTGTGTACAGTACCTTGCATCTGCATTTCCTGATTTGTTTTACGTAATTTTTTTAACTTTTTGATGTGATATTGTAGGCCTACTTATTGATGTTAATTGAGCTTTTTTCATTATTTGACCATTTCATATATTATTCTCGTGAAAGTAATCAATTTCTATTTGTATTTTCCTGTGATAATTGACTTTTGTGTAGGTCAGGTTGTAATTTTTATATTAATGGTTGAACATTTTAACAACTTAGTTTCGCAATCCAGTTTCTCATCTACAATGAATCATTATATGTATATATTTATTTTGATGTGAATAAAGATACCAAGATATATATATATATTTAGTTTATTTTGTCATTCTGATCGGATTTTCTCTACTGTTCCGTTTTAATTTTAAATAGTTTTGCATTATGTGGCCGTTTGCTGTTTCATGGGTTTTTCCCGATGGGTTAGTCTCCTACCTTTATCTTTACCAAGTAGTGTTGTTGATTTATTATTTTATATTGTAATTCTAGTTGTTTAATGGAACATTGTATGACAGTAGTAGATTCTAAATCTTAAAAAAATTATTTTTTAAAATGGAGAAAAAAAGAAAATTATATTCAAATTTAAGTCTGAGAGTACCGTTTCTGATCATCTAGGTGCTACAATCATAATAAAAAGAAAAACTGCCTCAGCCCCGACCATGGTGGGTGCTGAGGTGGTGTACACCCTCTATATGTGAATGTTCCTCCCTGGGCCCCTCTATTCTGAATTCCTTGATCCGCCACTGTGACATACGTATAATGCTGGATGCACGTGCACACTTGCTTTATGTACTATACACACAAACTTTAGGCACGTGCATGCATGCCTCACCTACGAGTCGAGTGACCGAGCGGTAATGTAGGGGTGCCGCTAACTACAGCTTTAACATCATCGCTTGGTTCCAGCCACCCCTTATCCAGGGTTTGGTTGGTAAAACAAAGTCTTCTTGGATAAGGACTTAAAATGAAGGTCCAGTGTACACATCTGGCTCGTGTGCACCTTAAAGAACCCATTGCATCTTTCAAGAGTATGGGTTACCCTGATGCTATGGTTCATTTCAGCCCCTGTCGTTATGGAATGATGTGAACATGTAATACAATAAGCGCCTCTTTATGGCCACTAGGTAGTCACACACTATGCCCATGCACAATTCAGCACAATGATGCGAGTTACAGGTTATTCTCCTACCGTTAATACACATGCTGCATACACATACCCATCAAAATCCCAGAATACTGTAGGTACGTATGCACAAACACACTGCTCATTCAGATGTCTAAATTGTAATCATAATTTTTTTTTCTTCTTTAGGTATTGCAGCCCTGAGCATATATTTCCAAGCCAAGAAGATGCCATAGAGTATGCTGTTACTATTTCTAGAAAGCATGTTGAAACCAATGAAAGGACTTTAATTGTATGTGGAACATATACAATTGGAAAAGAGAAGATTTTCCTTGGTAAGACATTCAATTTTGCTTTGGTTAGGAAAATATCTGCACTTTAGCTCCGTAACAGCGAAGACAAAATCAGTGAAATAGGAAATTTAATTGTAGACAAAAAAAATTATTAGTATCCAGTCTACATAACATTACTACATTTTTTAATAAACTATTACAGTAAAACGTCCATTTTACGTGCCCCTTGGTACCATGTGCGCTCAATCCAACGTTCGTTGTTCTTGTTAGGTTTATTACATTAATAGTGATTATTATACCAGAAATGGAAGAAAAGATTATACTATTAATAAATAAATGCAAAAAACTTGATTTTATTAAGAAAAATATACATTATCACTTTGTAAAACATGCGCAATAAGACTTTTTTTACGGTAATAATTGGTTGATGATGATGTTTTACTGTATGTATAAAATTTCCTAATAGTTCATCCAAGGGGGTATACCACTTGGCTCAGTTGGTAGAGGATCCAAATGGTACTCAGAGGGTCTTGGGTTCAAACCTTGATGGGAACATACATTTTTTTTTCAATATTGTATTACCTTGAATAATTGGTATTATTTGACAGCAATTGCGGAGGCTCTTAGGTGTAAAGTGTGTATCACAAAAGAGAAGGAAACAACTTTGAAATGCTTAGAAGATAAAAACCTAAATAAGTTCTTAACAAGTTCCAAGCAATTAACAAGACTTCATGTTCTACCAATGTCCTATATCACCCACACGGTATGTATGAGCGATTGTTTTCAAATATTAATATTTATCAATGTGTGGGGCAGCCAAAATAGATTAAAAGTTTCTGGATTTGTGTTCAATAAGAATCCTCGTTCTTGATTGACGTTGTAAGGTGTTGGCCTTCTCTGCACATCATACATGCAAGGTAGTAGTTGTGAATCCCTGTGAATAAGAACTAGGTTTAGTTAGAGAGTTGAGTTTGTTTTTTACTATACTTTCTCCATTAAAAACCTTCTACAGTGCACCCTCAAATTCGTGACCCCTCTAATTTGGTGCAACTTTTCAAAGAACTAAATAGCCATCTTCAATCTGTTAACACTTAGCCAACCTTCTAACTTGGTCTCGAATTGGAAGGCGGAATTTATTTTGTGGTTTCACTAAAGAAGGGTGGTAATGTTTGAAATTATGTCTGATTCATTATTGCATATCCTTTTCCCCTGGCCAAAAAAAGCATAAATGTAATTATGAAAGTTTTCTAATTTCTTTGTATGACACAGAAATTGAAAGAATATATGAACCAGTTTCCACGGCAATACAATCAAGTAATTGGCATCAAGCCTACAGGATGGACTTACAGCAAGAAGGGTGCTGGACTATTGGACATTAAGCCGTCAGTCAGTGGTCAAAGTTATATCTATGGTGAGTGCAACAATTTCCATTTTATATTGTATTTTGTTATTTTATCATTAAATATTGTAATAAATAGTAAATAAATACCATTTTGTGTTAAACTATTATTTCCAGACATAAGTACTTAACTGATGCTATATTGTTATTAAGTCCATGAGAAATATACTTTTTTATTCTTAAACCAAAAACCACAACAACATATATAACAAGAATTCATACTTTGTACTTTGTGCTGGAGAACATTTAACATAGGTTAATCCACCCACTAACATGTAGATAGGCCCACTTTATAAAAGAGATTTGATTTGTTTGTGTGTTGGTTGTTCATATCTCTAGTACAGTAAAGACATTTTTAAGAGCGTACCAATACATCATATGCTTGTTTATCGTACGCTCAGTGCAGAGCCGCAATTGAAGGTTTTTTCCCTCTCTTGATTGTAGGGGGCGCTAGCATTTCAGTCGCATCAGAGCCATATATACAAAGAGTTGCGACATTCCGCTCCTCGGTTTGCGAAAGTCACGTGGTACACACCGTCCATTTTTGTGTCCAAATCTTCCCGAAGAACACATACAAATGTATACGTGTTAGGTATATTACATAGTATTTTCACATGTTTAATTGCGTTTTTGATGTTGTTACTTAATAACTATTTAATATCAAAAGCGTGATTAGAATTTATCTTTAGAATTAGAATACTTGCGCGTGTTCACGCGCGCTTGATAAGTAAATGTGAATTACATGTAATTACATAGAAATTATAATTAGAACGTGGATCGCATTGAACAGAGAACGTGGATCGCGTTGGACACAGAATGGCTTCTAAATTCTCAATGTTGCAACTCTTTCTATCTATGGCTCTGAGTCGCATATCTCCATTTTTTAAAGTTGAACTAATATTCAGGTGCAGATCCAGGATTTAAAAGAAGGGGTTTTAAAATGTTTCCAAAAAACCCCAAAATGAACGGGGGTGTGGGGGCTCTTTCCCCGTGAAAATTGTGATTGCTAGATGGCCGGAAATGAGCTTTCCCGACTTTTGAGGAGTCTTTTAATGACCTTTAAGTTCTTCAAAATTCAAGGTTTTCCCCCTCTTGAAAGAAGGACAGGTAATTTTTTCTCATTCTTTAGGCCTTTCATAGAGGAAAAAAAGTCAAAGACAGGCAATATATTATTACATTCCAACAACATTGAGTAGTTAGATATGTAGTCTTTCTTCCATGGATCGATGAACTGATAGGCCTGAAGAACGCACTTTCGTACATAAATTTTTATGACGGGGAACCAAAACATAGTGTGTATTATTTATTTAATTGAAAACTAGTTGGGCTATGCCTAGTTTGTCTGATCTTCCAACCTGTGCCTAGGTAGGTTAGCATGCCTTTTGTAAGCCAGGACCAAGTTGTATTGGATCCACCACTGTTTACATTATTTGCTTTAACTTTATCCTTCCTTGCTTGTTACGTAGGAATACCGTACAGTGAACATAGTAGCTATGATGAACTGGAGCGATTTGTAAGATTCATAAAACCTATCAAGATTCAGCCAACCGTGAATGTTGCCACGGAAGCATCAAGGAAGAAGATGAGCAACATCTTTGACTCCTGGATGAAGGATGCTGCTACAATAGCAACTAAAAGGAAATCTACCACTCCAAAGATTGATTTTTTTGTTACAAGTGGGAAAAACTGTAAGAACTAAATTTTATATGAGGAGGCCCAATTTTCTTTTCCTTTTTCTTCGCAAGAGTGACCAAAACACACTCTGGGGCAGGTCCCACCAACTTGAACGATTGGCCAAAAATGCAAAATTAAATAATGTTGGGTGGCCATGAAATGGGAAAAGGAAAACATTATTTATTTAAAGGTATATAACATTTTAGCTATACAATATAATCACATCTACTTAATAAAATATATATTTTTGCCTATTAAATCAATGTAGAGATTTGAAGGGAAACAATTCTGTAATACAGTATTATGAATTTAATTTTAATATTACTTAATTTGTTGTAGTCAGTATAATAGTAGAAAGTATTGAATTTTTTTAATTGAATTGCTGCAATCTATAGGTTTATTCACAATGCTGAAACACATTGGTAATTATTGTTATATAATTTTTTTTATGTAGAATACATAGAAATTTAGGTATGCATTTGTCATAACTGTCATAACAATAATGGTCACAAGAAGTTTTAAAATTACATGAACATGAATATATTTTATTTTGTACTATTTTTGTTAATACTCATGCGACCTTTATCAATCGGAATGACCATCAAAATCTTGTCATTTAGTTCTACAGAATCAATAATTTCTTTTTCTTTCTTTTTTTTTGACTTTCCAAAAGGGGGAATTCACCCCTGGTTTGAACCATATGCTGACAATTCTCTCCAAGCCATGTGTTAGAAACCTTAGCTCACATTTTTGAAGTGCTGCGTAGTTGGCTCATATTATAGTCATTGATGCAAGCATAACGTAGCTTACAAATAATGATTAAAAATGTTATAAATTTTGGCCACTTTTCGTCATCATTGACACCAACATCAGGTCTGCTACAGTACTACCTTGATATACACCAAAGAAAAATGGATTCTTGCGAGTCAGGAACAAAAGAAAGAAAGCCTAGTTCGTCAAGGTGAAGTGTTCAGGGAAGATAATTTTATCCAGGTACCATGTTGCTATGGGCAACTTAAGGCATTAATGTGCTAGGCTACAGCCTTGGATATGGAACTGCATTACATGTCAGAAACCATTACATTAAATCAATATTTAAGTCATTCATCCATAATGTAATATGTATTCCAACCTGCATGCATTTTACTAGAAATAATGAGTTTGAAATAAGAATGAAATAAACAGTATATATAGAAAAGCACAGACATTTGATTATATATATATATATATATATATATATATATATATATATATACATATAAAGTCATTGACTATAACTTAGTTTGAATAAATTTACTTAATGCTTAATGCCTGAACTACAAATGTGCTTTACGAAAAGAACAGATAAGAGATCAAGGTTCGGTTCGCTAACTGCTCTCAACACTGTTGAAAAAATAATTATAGTATTGGCCTATATCATCAAAGGTACATATACAGTGTTTAATAAGGACATGATGGAACATCGTAGGCTACCCTGTAGCCTGTTAAGCTAAAAACCTTTATCAAACCTTTGTATATATATAGGAAAATCAGGAGTAGCTGCTTGGCAAAGTGTAGATATATATCAAATAAAACTCAGGAACAAGGTATATATTTGCCAAATTTAATACAGAAAATTCACAAACGTTTTCGGCCA